CCTGCTTTCTGGGAGTTTCAGGGAGCCCCCAAAACTTGCGCAGGCATCAAGGCCAAGGTGCCGCCGGACCCACGGGAATCTGCACTGCCCAGATACTCTGCTTCCCAAGGAGGGAGGAACTCCCTGCAAGGTTATTTCCCTGTGCACCTTTACCCTGCCTGCAACCCGTTTGCCACCACACTGCATCACATGGTTTCTTATCTACCTTGACAGAGGCAAGGCTGTAATTTGTCTACTAGCGGCGCCGAGCAAAAGACGCCCTGCCCAGGAGTGCCACGCAAAAGCAAATCACTCCTCGCTGCCTGCTGTGCCAGGGTTCGAGCGGAGACCCGTGCTGGGGGCTTGATCCATCCAGGTCTCCCAGGGTTTCGGGGACAACTCCCTGCGGAGAACCTGTTTTACCAGCCGCTCTCCACCAGTCAACAACTCCTCCAGCACTGGTGGAGGAGGTGAATTACCTTGGGCTGAGTGGGAGGAGGCTGGCTCCCAGGGATCCAAAACAGTCATTAAAACACCTCCGTCTGGGTGCAGTCCATCCCTTTCCAAAGAGCATGGGAGGGTGCCCTGCTCCTTTCAGCCTTTTCTGGATGTCGGATTGAGCAGTCACGGCCACCCCATCGTTATGAGCTTTGCTGCAGTAGAGAGCACCCACACAGTCTCAGGGGAAGCGGCTGAAGTATGGGGGGGGTCCAATTTTTGGGTGCTGAGGCCCTGTGCGGGAGGAGGACTGTGTGCCCAGGCTCGTCCCGTGCCTGGACCCAGTCCATCAAACCTATCGTCCCCTTGGCTGGTCTCAAGACCCCGTCCCCCCACTCTCACACGGGGCAACACTCTCCTTCAAAGGGTGGGTGTGAAGGCAATGGGGGGGCTGTCTCAGCGGGGCGACGGGGGCACACAGACACACCAGAGCCAGGTCCAAGCCTGGGTTTCACCTGGGGCCAACCCTGGTGCACAGTGTGGCCGGGACCCTGGTGGTCCCACTGCAGATGCCTGTGGAAGAAGTCATCCGGGACCCCTTGAGTACAAATTTATTTTGTGATCCTGGTGAAATCCGTCTCTCCGCCAGCCCAAGAGACTGGTTATAGGGCTGGGCTTGCCACGCATGCCTCCAGCCCACAGGGGTGTGCCCAGGACCTGAGCAACCAAAGAAACTATTTTAATCAAAGGCTCCTGATTAAAATCCCATTTCTAAAAGATAGCCCTGTCAAATGAGCCGCCCGCTCTGAGCAGGGCTCGTTCTCTGTTTTTCTTTCCTCTTGCAGTAACTGTTTGCTTTCAAGTGTTTTCACACAAACAGAAAATTCAGCAAGTTGTGGCATAAGGAAAAAAAGATTACTTAAATAACCTTGCAAGCGTCCTGCTAATGGCTGACAAACTATATATAGCAGTTCAGCATCAGCACGCTACTATAAAGCAATAAACCTTTCTGAGTAATGCACAGCGAGCACTTTACTTGCAAAACTCATTGCCAAAGGATATCACTGAAGCATAGGACTTAACAGGATTTTAAAAAGGATTAGACTGAACGTAGTGAAAGAACACCCCCAGCTAGGATCTTCACGGCAAAGGAATATAAAACCTCACAGTTTGTGATTCCTCTTATTATTAAGATGAAGAAATTCTAGACAGGCATTTAACGGCTGGGGATTAGGCAGAGGACGAGCCTCGATGACACTCGCCCCTCACAGTCCCCCAGTCTTTATTTTCAGCTCAGAGACCTTTTGATCTGAACATTATTTCCTCTTTAAGTCCCCCTTCAGTGGGTTTCTCCACCATGGATTTGCCCGGTTTTCCTCAAACCCAGGAAAGCTGTTAGTATGAAAAACATCCTTCAGCAAGGAGTTCCCCAGGTCTATTCCCCGCTGCTGGAAAAGCTCCCTCCTCTCCTTTAATTTGGATGAGGTGCTGCTGAGCTGTTTGGCAGCACAAAGCATTGATCTCTCATGGTTTGAGATTTTTGCTGTCGTGGAGCATTTAGCTCATGTTTTCCCTGATGTTCCTCGTGTTGTTTCATGTTCACCATAATCCCAAGTTATCACTCCCAAGTAGGCAGCGACCAACCCAGAGCCCATCATCTTATATGTGAAGTCACGGTGGCTTTTTCCCTCTGTGTGTCACTTTATACCCCCCCCAAACATCCCCACCATTTTATCCCCAAACCCCAACGTCCTGCAAGATCCCTCTGAATGTCTGTGTCATCAGCCTTCACCTCTGCCATGCCAAATACGCAAGAATTATCAGCAGTTTGTTATCTCACCATAATTTCCTACCTGCTAATTGATTATTTACCTCTGCTTGGACTTTCCCTCTTAGCCGTGGCTGACCTAAAGGTCTTTGCTTCTGAAAGTCCAGGAAAACTCGTATCTACCAGGTTGGTCTTATCCACAAGCTTGTTGATGCCTTCAGCGAACACCAGTCACTTTGTGAGACCAGACTTCTCTTTACAAAAGCTATTTTGGCCACCCCAAGGTCATCACCAAAGCCCAGACCAAACTGCAGGTCCAGAAAGCTGAAGGTGATGAAATTAGGCAGGGGCATGAGTCTATGCAGGGATGGGATGCTTAGGGGAACCAGTCTGACATTTATCCAGATCTGCTCTACACACCAGGCTGTCATATCTGCTGTCCCAGATCTGCAACCAGGAGAGGAAAGCTATGTGCTCTTGGCCGAAAGAGTTGTGCCACAGGACTCTGCTGTGTGCAGGCAAGGCTCTAATGTAAAACGCCACTTCTCCTCGAGTACCCGCTTTGCCCGGGGTGGCTTTCCAGCCGCTTCTCAGGAGGGCTCTGCCAGCAGACCTACATCTGCCTGAGGACCTCAGGGAGGCCAGATCTTCATCTGATGCAGATCAGCAGAAGACACCCATTTATACCCACTAAGGAGCCAGACCAGTATCAGCGGGGTTTGTTTTTTTTTTCCCTTGGGAACAGTGTCCTGTGTCTCATCCCTATGCTGAGCCTGTTTCTTTGGCTACAGGGCAGTGGAGAGCTTCCAGTTTCCACAACTGTGCTGTAATTAGGGCATTCCTCAACCTCGCCTCGGGGCCCAGCGGTGAACCCTCCACCTCCACCCTTTTTGCCCGTGCTGGTCCCCCAGCATCGGCCACGGCTCAGCTCCTCCCTTGGCTCCACTGGCTCATCCGTGCCACGCTGCCGGTGGTGGAGCACACTCAGCATCATCATCTGCCCAGGCTTCCCCACTGGGCTGGGGCATGGGACTCCATGGCCAGGAGAAGAGGGTTTTCACCTTTGCCTAGCTGCCACCCCGTCTCTACAGGGGTGCAACAGCTCCCAAAGGTCCCACCACCAAATGTTTTAAAAAGCTCTGCTCCCCACACACACGTCTCCCTGCCTCCCCACACTGGTGCTCTGCAGGCACTGGGATGGTCCAGGGCTGTCCTTCCCCAGCCATGATTCCTTCAGCTTTTTGGGAAGATGTGTGCGATGCGCTAGAAACTGATAGTACAGAGATACCTCTGCTGTGCGAAGGCCAGAAAGTGGCTGAGATTGGTGTGTGTTTGCTCAGAAACCAAACAAAATCTAAGCACAGACTTTTCTGTTTCCTCTAGGAAAGGAATAACCATTGTCCAGACTGCCATGCACCTAGCTACCAGAGGGCTTTTTTTCATTTAAAATTTAACTTTTAAAAAAAAATAATAAATAGTTTAGACAAATCTTTGTTCAGAAATGCCATCGGGATGCCCCACAGGTATTATATAGTTCTTCAGGTTCCCACTCTCCTCTGCAGGTTGGCGTCCTCAGTAGATGCTATCTCCTGTGATGCCCCAGGTCTAACAATGAAGAACCATGGCCATCCCCCAAAAGTGGTGTCAGTGGAAACTTTTCAGGTCATAGAAAAAGTGTGACTCATTGGCAGAAGCTGTGTGGCAGACTGCATCCCTCATAGCACATGAAATTAGTAGCAATTAATGAGAAATCCCCTCTAATATGAGCAGTGAGTGAGAGGGCACCGGCCACAGCAAGGGAAGATGGACACGGTGGACATACCCCGCTCACACCAAGTGCCGTACCCCAACCCAGCCCCGTTCCTCCCCAGGGCTGCAGGACACGAGCCTGGAGGGATGCAGGAGGGGAAAATGAGGGGTGAAGAAACCCATTTCTTCGCATTTTATACTGCAGGGGACACACAGAACCCACAGTGATGACTCCCGGGGTGACGGGTGGTTATGCTATAACCCTGGGTCACCTCCTGCACAGCTGCAGCTGTGGGGTTTGGTACTGCACCGGCAGCACCACGGGGGCCGCAGAGGGGGAACGTTTAACCTTTACCCCCAGGGACTGCAGCCGGGTGTTAACCCACGCAGGGCAGGGTGCTGCAGGCGTCTTCAGAGGCTGTGGGATAAACTTTACCCCTTCCCACCCCAGGGCTGCCCATCGCTGCTCATCCTCCTCCCCTTCCTCCCTCTTCAGCTCCAGCCGCCAGCTGAGCTGCAAATGCGCTCAGGGAAATATTTGGGCACAGTTCAGGCGTCTCTGGGCATCATCCATCAGCAAGGACGTCACAGAGCATCCTAGGAAAGGAAGGGACCACTTTACAACCAGCTAGGAGGGATGTTTTTGAAAGGCCACATCAGGCCAAACCCTTTGCATCTCCCTCACTGCAGTTTTGCCAGCAAAAGCTTTCCAGTAGAAAATCATTGGGTTGATTAATATTTTTTTCTACTGTTCCATTTAGCTTCTGCAGTTTCAAGCTTCCAATGTTTTGCATTGCTTTGCTTTGCTCTGCTCTGGGGACTCTTGGCTGCAATGGAGCAGCCTGGAGGAGGGTAGGGACAGGGCTCTGCTCAGTTCAAGGAGACAGCACCGACTCATGGAGTTCTGGAAATAAATACAATTTCATTAGCAACTGCCCCAGCATCAACTTCTCTCCCTAGGAAGAGCCCTGCAAGTCCCCCATTTGGGCTGAATTTTCAGTAAAAGGGGATTACTATAGGTTTCCCTTCTAATTCAGAGAGAAGAAATTGAGCTTGTTGTCACCTAGGAGGGAAGCAACAGTGGGACTTGCAGAGTTGGCATGGTGTGAGGGAAGCCAGGCATAGCATGGGACAAAAGGCTCAACCTGCCCCTCTGACCAAGAGGAGAGCTGGGCTCCCAGTTTGCCCACAGCCACAGGAGCAGCTCCAGAGCAGAGGTGGAGGAGAAGACTTGGATCCCAGTCCCCCAATCCAACCAGGAGAGCCTCATGCTCAGAGCAGAGAGCTGCATTTTCCCCTCGAGATTCAATCCCTGTAAAGAGGTGGAGGGTTTCTATGTTTCTAATAAAGCTGAAATCCATAAAACTTTGTTTTCCCATGACCAATCAAGGTGTTTTTCCACTGGAGAAGGGTGAAACCAAGACATGGTCATTTGGGGAGCATCAGACTTTGAAAAAGTAGGGGAACTTGCCAAGCAAAGACTTTTGGGGTTGGGTTTTTCTTCCCCCCACTAATCTCAAACACAAGGCAGCCACGCAAAGTCAGCTGTAGTCTACGATGAGCATGTGGGTTCTGCTGGCTCTCTCTGTGGCTGCAGTGACGTGCTGGTGAGCCCTAAGGTTTTGCTCTGCAGCAGTTTCGGGTGTCTTGGTGCGCAGGATCTGACAATGAGCTGGGCACGGGCACAGGCTGGCTGCCAAGCACCGACCAGAGCCTGGTCCCACAGCACCCATCACCCATATTGCCTTTCATCTCACTGCCATACCTGCCCCACCCCACAAACACCAGCCCCCCCCCTCCCCCTTTTTTTTTTAAATTACCAAATTAGCATAATTACACTAGGCTCAGAGCAACTGTTCTCGACTCGGACTTGGCTTGCCATTTTCTGCTTCTGTTCCAGGTCTGAAGAAGGCTTTGTTTCCATGAAACCTCTCTTGCATTTTCCAGCTTTACCAGTTGGTCAGGTAACAGTTATTACCTCTCCCTACACACCTTTCTTCCTCTGCCAGGATCGCTGCCGAGTGTGTGAGTTCCCTCTGGGGATAGCGTGTGCAGTGAGATCCCAGGACGCTGCCTCGGCACAGCTCCCGCTCAGGCAGCGAGCTCGGAGGGACGAGATCAGAGCCGAAAACTTTTGCCTTCAGTGGTGGGATATCCCCACGCACCATCCCTGATCACCTCCGAGAGCAGAGTCACTCAGGTTGGCCAAGACAGAGACTCGCCTCCCAGAGCTGTGCCTGCCGGGAGCCCGTCCCGAGGTGCACAGGGTGAGGACAAGCGGTCAGCGAGTGCTGGCGCTGCGCTAGGCCAAATTAAGCTTGGAAAGGAAAAAATGGGTGGAAAAGGCTCTGTGTGCTGTGCAACTGCAGGGGGTGGTCCTGGCCCTAGTGGATGCTGATGGGGATAGAGGGTCAGGTGGAAAGACAAAGACTGAGCATCTGTGCATGTTTAGGGGGAAAATGTGTATTTTCCAGCTGACAGCCACCTCTGATCTCACCCTAATTTTGCAGAGAGTTTTCATATTGAGTCTTAAATTCTCTGCAAAGGGTATGGTGGGTGTTGTGGCAGCCCGGGCGCTAATGACCATACTGGAAATAAGTATTCCTATCAGTTGCCGTCTGCCCTAACCCTCTTTGTCCAGAGACAAAAGTGAGCGGTTTGGCTCAGTATCTCTGAACTGGCCAAAAGAGGAGATGTGATGCCCAGAGCAATCCAGCTGTCCTCTGGCTTTGGAGACCAAACCCAAACCCACCTCCCAACGATGGCTCTTCTTTGCTTGCACTGCTGGCCACTGAGCTACCCGAGACTGCTGCAGAAAGTCCTGCAAAGGCCAGCTGCGTAGGGACACCTTTTCCTGTCCCTAAAGAAATGCAATGTTTTTCTGGGAAGACTGAGCTCTGTTGGAGACTCTGCGCTTTCTGATGCTGTTTCCTTCCAGCTCTGGTGCCTGTCTGGCGACCTGCACTTTGCTCCGAGTTTAAAGCATTTTCTGTACATCACAAGATCCTTTCACAGGGACTGGGGTGTGCTGCAAAACACCCGTGGTGTGGCACAGGTTTGAAACCATGGATGCTGCGGTTCCTCTGGGTACCTTGGGGATGTGGACAACGCACTGCTACAGCCACCAAAAACATCTCATGGGGGCTGAGCCTCAGCATCTCCTGCAGTGCAACCAGACAGAAGACCTAATTTGGTGTGAATTCTCGCCGGTTCTCCCCTCCAGCCCTGCTCTGGGGATGAGCTGGCACATTCCCAGCTGCTGGCACTCAACCAGCTGCAGTCTGGGGGTTGCAATGTAGAAAATAACAGGACTAGTAGGGAAGCGCGAGCTGTTTGGCCTGAAAGATGGATCCCTCTCACATTCTACTGAAACGTTGCTCAAATTAAGCCTTGAAATGGGGCTGCCCCAATTCCCACAGCTCTGGTGCCTGTGATGGGGCAGCTGGTGGGAGAGTTGGTGCCCAGGTGGGCAAGCTCTGAAGGCTTTTCCAAAACCTGAGAGAAGGAGGAGGGGTGGAGGGAGCTGGCAGACATCCATCTCCACACTGAGCCCCAAGCCTTGCTGCTTGGGAGGCCGGGGCATCACTGGAGCCCAGCAAGGGCTGCGGTGCATGGGAGGGCAGAGGAGGGTCCTGCACAGGGGTGGGGGGCCTCAGCAGAGCTGGTGGAGCACCAGGGAGCAGCCTGGGGGGGGCTGGAAGAGATGAACCCAAAGCAAGTCTGAGCCCAGGGCATGCTACTGGCCTGAGCGCTGGCACGGGGACATTGCAGGGTGGCAGGAAAGGACCAGGGTATCTTCCCCACCAGGCTGTGGACTAGCACCTGCCCCTGGCCAGTGGTCCCCCAGTGACGAGCCCATGCGGCACTCTGCCCAGGAGACTGTCCTTTAATACACGAGCAGCTGCGTGAGTACATCTCAGGCTGCACCCGCTGGAGGATGGGGCAGTGGGAGGACCAGCAGCCATCTCCGGGGCCTCTCTGCAGTGGTGGAAAGGGAGGGATGGCCAGGGACCCCTTGGAGATGGCACAGCCCATGCAGGTGATACCGGGACCCGCGGTGCCAGGGCTGTGCGGGAGGAGGGCTGACGGCAGCGCTGAAAGAAAGAAGCTCATATCTCCTTCCCACACAGTTGTCCACGTGTTTCAGCTCAGTGGTGAATTCAGGGTAAGGGCATACAGAGCACGGAGGGGCAGCAAGGGACAGGGAGGCAGGCAGCAGGGTTGGGGAGGCTCTTCTTCCCGGTGCTCCTGTGGGAAAGAAACAGAGCAGAGCAGTGGGGCAGAAGAGGAGTTTTCAGGCTGCTGGTGGTGCCAGTGGTGCCCATAGTGTGCAGGATGAGTGTGGCATGGGCAGCAGACCCTGGGGAACCACAGAGGACAAGCTGTGAGAGGAGCATAGCTGCTGGCAGGGGCTCCATGGTGGGGACGTGCAAGACAGGCACCCATCCAAAGCGTGGGGTGAGAGACGGGGCACCGCAGGGGAAGGAGGAGCAGTCCCCTACCTCTCACTGGCCGGTGGGGGACTTGGCAGCGTCGAACATCTTCTTTCGCCCCTCCATCCCCGACATTGCCTCCACGTTCTTGCGCCAGTCGCCCACTTCCACAGGACGCTCCTGCCAGGAGGGACAGGGACGGGGGTCGCTATGGCCGTGTGATGGCTCCACGCTGTCCCACCCCCTTGGACAGAGCCCTCGTCCCCAGCATGAAAGCAGCACGGGGAAGGCAGCTGCCCCGTGGCAAACGCCCTCTCCCTCGGATCCAGCTCTGCCGTGTGTCCCTGCACGTGGAGCTGACTGGGAAGATGGCAAACAGCAGTCTGATGCCCACAGGGAGGTCTGGATTCATGTGGATACCCCCCCCCCTCAAAAAAAAAATATTGGCTAAGTTGCATTAAAACACCAAAAGGCACAAATTTCCCAGAAAATATTTTTAGGAGGAAGAAACCAGCACATAGGACTTACTCCGGGTTTGCACCAGCACACTGGAGCAAACGCAAGCAAAAACACTTTCTGCATAGTCCTCCCAGCCCACATAAAACCCATCGCCACCTTCACTGAGCTTTTGGAGGGTTCTGGGATTGCTGGTGTGACAGTGAGAGCCTGGCAACCGCTTCCAGAACAGAACGGAGAGATGATGGCAGCTCTGGGAGCATGCCCAGGTGTCTGCTCTGCCAACCCACAAGCATCCATAGATTACAAACCATGCCCCAAAGTCATCTCACGACATCTAAAATAAACTCAGATCTATTCACCACCTGGCGTTGAGGACTGTAAACACAGTTTTCTATCCAAAGGACTGAAAATGTGCCATAGTATCAACAGGGGGGGAAAAAAAATTGAAAATTGAGGTTCTTATCTAATCTGCTGAGCTGGGACCCAAGGGCAAAACCCTTTTGGGGAGAGGCCCTAGGAAAATCGCACAACTCTTGCCGTTGGGGTGCCTGCACACCCCAGGCAGGTTTGGGCATCACTCTCCATCTCTGGTTGTTGAAACTTTCCCCTCTCGTGTCTCTGCAAAGCCAGTGTGAGCTGGACCGTTTGTCTCAGGCCAAACATGCTTGCTGGGCTTTCTCTGTCTTATCTAATCTGGGTCTGGGAGTCTCCCAGGTGTTTTCTGGGCATGACTGTATCGAAGAGGAGCTCTCCTGGTTCCTTAAAAGACCAAAGACCAAACTCTCTGCAAGTGCATCTCCACAGATATGCCAAGGGTGCCCCAGCTGAAAGACCCCCACATGCTCTGGGAGGGAAGAGCATCACGGACGCAGCCCTACATCTCACTTGTTACTGTCCACCAGTTACCTGGCACAGTCAAATGGCTCCCACATGGTCCCACATCCCACAATGAGCAGTCCCTCACAAAGTCTGCCCCATGCTATTTCTGAGGCTTACAAGGGATGAGCTCAACCCACACGGGTTTCACAGGGGACCTTGGAGAAGAACAAGGGCATCCCTAGAAGGTGTCTCCACCTCTGGTCTCTAGAAGAGTCACCCACCTTCTCCGTGTCCTCCTTCTTGACAGACTTCAGGTTGGCTCTCAGATCCATGGACACCTTGTGCTTGGAGCCCAGCAGAGCCCTCAGCATGGCATCAGCAGAGACGCGGACTCGCCGCAGGGGGGGTCGCTTGAACTTTCCTCGAAGATCAAGCACTTTGATTTTCAGATCTTTAATCTGCATGTTGAGGAAAGGAGGAAGAGTGGGAGCTCATCACATGGCTGCCTTGCACAAAAAGCTCCTGTGTGAAGCAGGACTCTCTGCCAACACCAAGCCCTAGAGGGGTCTGCACCTTTCCTGCAGCCATGAGAACCACTTTCACCAAGGGATTGTCCACCTGAGCACAGAGCTGTTGTCAGTGCCTTGTCCCAGCCAGCTCAGATGGCAGCTGTAGCATGAGAAGGAGCTCTCAGACCCACAAGGAGTGGCCATGGGAGCAAAGAGGTTGCCTGTGGACCCAGTGGACGGTTTGAGTTCCCTGAGGCAGGGATGAACCTTGTGCTGAGTGATGCATTTTCAATGCATTGAAGAGCAAATACCAACCCTTAGATAACCCTGGTGCATGTCACACATCCAAGCTCAGCACAGTCCATGAAAGATCCCCCTCGAGGTCCAAGCTACCATCTGGGAGGGAGTTAATGTCAAAACAAACAGCCCATCCTGCTTCCTACCTCCCGAGTGTTATGGTTGCATTTCGCTTCGATGTCGTATCTCTCTTCATCCACAATTTCAACCTTCTCGTGCAGCTCCCTGCACAGGTCCTGGGGGCCAAGCACAACAGGAGAGCAGTAAGTGATGCCCCTCGGTGCTCCCAAGGACCCCACTCCACCCTCAGACCTGAGAAATACCTGGAGCTGACTCAGGGAAAGCCCACTGGTGTGCAGTGGTGTGATCCTCTCAGACAGGTATCTTTCCTTCTCTGACTGCTTGTCCACAATCTCCTGATCCCACTCCTCCTTCGCTTTTGCCAGCATCAAACTCTACAAGCACAAGTAAATGGCTCAAGTGTGAACAGACAGGCTCCTCTGTTCCCTCTGAGCCTCCTCGCACAACATCTGCAGGATGGGACCATCCTATCTGCCTCCCAAACCTCCTCCCTGCTGTAGCTGTCCTCCCAAAATCACCGTGCTGCTGCAACACACATCAAAAAACCCCTACACCTTTTGTGTGGTGACCCTGAAGGCAGGGACAAGGGCATGGCCAGAGGTACCATGGGGCTGTGGTGGCGGTGGTCCTGATGGATGCTGATGTCAGCACTTTCTTTGCATTGGTTCGCTCTGCCGTGGCAGCAAATGATTTTCCTAAGCCACAACCCGGGGAGGTCCCAAGCTTGTGCTGCAGAGTTGCTGGTGCGCAAACACCAGGTCTGTGGCTTTAGAGCTGAAGGCATCAGAGTCTCTCCCCACCTTAGTAAAGTGGAGGTGAGAGGAGGTTTGTTTGGTGCATGGACCACAAAGCCCACATGAGTGAGGATTTTTGAGAAGACAAGAGGTGGGAACTGGAGCTGCTCCCCAAGGCCCATACTTCTGCTGTTCCACTTATCGCTGTTCCACCGACCACGCACTTCAACCCCGGCTCCTTTTCCCCAGTGAGACAAACTCCAGGGAGTTTCCAACCCTCAGGACTCACCTTCAACAAGAGTTTGCGTGAGGCTGTGATCTTGGATTTTCTCTAGGGGAAAGGGAAGGGGGAAAAAATTTTGAAAACAAACTCACAGCAAATGCAGAGTAGCATCAAGATACCTCCCAAAACGAAAGGCACTTACCTCCCTGCAGGCAGGCAGGAGTTCAGGAAAGAGCAGTAAGGAAGAAGAGAACAGGGCATCAGTGAATAAGAGTCAAAAAGAGGTGACGGTCAAGAAAAGCATCTAATGTGATTGCAGTTGGTTTTCTGGTTTCTCTATCTAATAGTTGCCACCTGAGAGTCAGCCAGGTCTGAGATGACTGTTCTCTGGAAATGGAGTGGGTGCTCGGGGCCACTGCTCAGAAAGCCAAAATGTCACTCAAACGTGGCACGCGAGCTGTCACGGTGCCTGTAGTGCCAGCCCCAGCTTGGTCTCTGCAGTTTGGGCCACAACACCCTCATTCACGCATTCCCCGTGCAGGCTGGGGCTGGCACGCAGGAGGGCTGGATCCTGCTCAGGTTTGCAGGGCTGGAGCATCTCCATGTCATTGCTTGATGAAACCTTGCAGGGAAGGTTCTCCCTTCTGTTCTCACTGGGGAACATGTTATATTTGCATGATGTGGTTCAAAGAGCCTCATGGCACAGCGAGTGGTGCTGCCCACCTCGGATCCCTATTTCGGGATCTAAGAAAGCTCCAAGGTTTGAATCGGGACATTGAAATTGCTAACAATTTGTATTGAAAGACAGTTTTTGCAAGGGGAATGGCACAGAGTTCTCAAACCAGTCTGCCAGCTGAACCCCCCAAAAATGGACAAGCTCAGCTGGCACGAGCAGCACAGCAGCCAGGCGAGGATTTTGTGAAATCCAAGGGAAACTCGTGCTACTTACGGCTCTGGCATTGTGGCGTTGTGCTGTTCGTCTGCAAATAAAAAAGGGAAAGAATCATAGAACCATAGTATCATAGAATGGTTTAGGTGGAAGGGACCTTGAAGATCATTGAGTTCCAACCCCCCTGCCATGGGCTGAAACAAAGGAGCAGATCCCAAATCCACCCAAACCCAGAAAGCAGTGGCAGCGGTGGGATGCTCCCAAGGTCCGTTGCTGCCCCGCACTGTCGGCGGAGGGAAGCGACTCCGCAGCTTCACCATCCCGCTGTGAAACACCAAGACAACCGCCTGGCTCCAAGGAAACTTTATTTCGGGCAAGCTCCAACCTGCCTCCAGCTGGGCCTGCAGGACTCGGTCTCCTGCTCCTTGGGGGTTTTCCCAAGCATCGAGCTGCTCCCCCGCCGGCGGCGGCACCCACCCCAGCTCTGGGCAAGGGGACGGAGGCGAACGCGGCTGGAAAGTGCAGGAGAAATGGGATCCCTTGGGGTCCCCCACATTGCGTTGGCACAGGGACTCCCATCCCACAGCTCCCCGTGGGCGACCATGGAGCCAAAATCCGTCTCAGGAGTGATGGAGCAAAGGGCAACAAGTTGTGGCCAAGCAGCTGAGCAGATTCCTTTAGCATCCGCGTCCCTGGTGAAATACTACGGTTTCATATTATAAATTTGCTTGGTAACCCCATGCCCTGGCAGCTGCTTCAAAATGTGCTGCCTCGCTTGCTTGCCGGCACTGCCCCTAACACTTCCCGCTCTTGCCAAGAAGCCCAAGTAATAGAAAATGTGTGGGAAAATGCCAATCAATTTTTTTTTTTTTCTCTTGCCAACCAGGAGTAAGAAGCTGATGCCATATTTCAGGAAGAAACAGCATTTTCCCGTGGTGGGTTTAGTGCTTTCCCTTAGAACTGGAATGGCAAAGCTGGGATTTTTTGCCTTGATCTCTTTGCATCCCCCTAAATTTGGAAACTTTTTAAACCCCGAAGATTCCAACTGCTGGGGGTAACAAAAAGGAACAACTCTGGTCTCAAACAGCTGCTCCCAGGCATATGTGGAGCCTGTGCTGAGCAAATCTCAGTGCACCTCCCAGCTCCCTCTGCTTATCCCTGTCCCATCCCCGTGCCCCCACTGCCTGGCCAGAGCCGTGGCCTGAAAGAATGGAGTTTGGGGGGAAAAATGCCACAGAAACCCATCAGGAATCATCTCCCCCAGAGCCTGCCAGATCCCTGGATTTACGAGGAAAAATCCCAAGAACAGATATTTTTTTCTCTCAAAAGCCACATCAGTCAGCTGCCGCTACAGCCACCAGTTTCACGCCTTTTTAGAGATTTTTGGGGTACAACAAATGTCCCAGAGGACATGCAAGGAAGGTGGCTCCTCTTGCCTGACACTGGTGCAGTGAGTGGGTCGGGTCCCAGCTGCTCCCCCCAGTTTATTTCAGGGGAGGCAGAAAAGCCTTTGGCTCTCTGGAAGTGAGCAAGAGCTGGGTGAAGCCTCTCGATGTCCCTTGTCGGAGCAAAGCCCGTCGTCCCTAGAAGGTGGGTCCTATACCGCACCTCGGGCTGACGACCTCTACCAAGGTCAATCAATTTTTAGGGCCAGATATTTCTAAATTTGCTTCCCAGAGGACAGCCGGGACTCAGCTGTGCCGGTGAGGCGTCCCCAGCCATCTCTTGCAGGGACTTTTGGGCTCCAGCCCGATCTGGAGTGTCCACAGAGACTTTGGTTTCTGATGGGGATGAAAGGATCTGGACAAGCTAATTCTGCACTGTCTGCATGCCCCCAGCCTTGAAAAGCTTAAAAAAACTTATTAAACCATTAAATCATGGAAATCCTTAAAAGAAAGAACACCCAGTCAATCCTGACATCCTCCCCCATCCCAGGGGACCGGACACATACGACGAACACGCGCCCAGCCAAGGCGATGCCCCACACACACTGAACCTCCCCTCCCTGGTCACACAAGTGACCGTGAGCAGTCAGGCTAGGACACAGGGGCAAATTCTTCCCAGAAATGGTCCCATTTGCCAGTTTTCAGGAAAATCAAGCAAACCTCAGCTCCAAAGCCCAGCTGGGTATTTTAGCAGCCTCTCTCCCCATCGTGATTTCACCAAATGCTCCATCCAAGAGCAGAGAAAATGTCTGAGCACCCTCGGAGAGGGGGAGAAATTCAGACAAATTCATATGCCGGCGGCTCCTCTCTGCCACGCCGCCCTGTGCAAGTACCGGCGGTCTCACGCTCACTCCCGTGTCACCACGAGCTAACCTGGGGAGTCACGGGTGGGGGGACCCCCGGGCAGCGCCTTACCTCGGGGCCGTGCAGGAGGGAGGTGATGCCTGGCCTCCGGAGAGCCGCACACTGCCGGGGGCTGGCGGTGGAGGGGGAGTATGAAATCGCAGCCTGCCTGCAAGTGGTCAGTAAAAATAGCACAAATCCCCTCTTGTGTGCACACGTTTGCTGTGAGCCCCGGCACCCCGTGACGTGCTGCACACACCTGGGGCACCGTCTCGGACACGGGGTGACACATGCCCATCACCCGCGCACGTCAGCACACCCATGTTTTAGTGCACCCGCGACCCCCCCCAATGATTCGGTGAATTCCTGTGCTGTTCACATGTGAATCACCCCAGCTTGGCCAGCACTTGCTGCCCGACGCCTCACTCACACGCATGTTGTGTGTGAGCACACAGATGTACCAGGTCAGCCCAACTGTGGTGCAATGGTGATGCTGGTGTATTTGTCATGGCACATCTGCCTTTGCTCCTCTCCAATGGAAACAGCACCAGAGATGCTGGAAAAGCCCTGAGTCTGCATGATCCAACACTGCAGTGCTTTTTCTTTGCAGAAAAGCTCCTGATTTTTTTCTTTTTATACTTTCCTTTCCTTTCCTTTCCGTCCCTTCCCTTCCCTTCCCTCCCCGTCCCTTCCCTTCCCTTCCCTCCCCGTCCCTTCCCTTCCCTTCCCTCCCCGTCCCTTCCCTTCCCTTCCCTCCCCGTCCCTTCCCTTCCCTTCCCTCCCCGTCCCTTCCCTTCCCTTCCCTCCCCGTCCCTTCCCTTCCCTTCCCTCCCCGTCCCTTCCCTTCCCTTCCCTCCCCGTCCCTTCCCTTCCCTTCCCTCCCCGTCCCTTCCCTTCCCTTCCCTCCCCGTCCCTTCCCTTCCCTTCCCTCCCCGTCCCTTCCCTTCCCTTCCCTCCCCGTCCCTTCCCTTCCCTTCCCTCCCCGTCCCTTCCCTTCCCTTCCCTCCCCGTCCCTTCCCTTCCCTTCCCTCCCCGTCCCTTCCCTTCCCTTCCCTCCCCGTCCCTTCCCTTCCCTTCCCTCCCCGTCCCTTCCCTTCCCTTCCCTCCCCGTCCCTTCCCTTCCCTTCCCTCCCCGTCCCTTCCCTTCCCTTCCCTCCCCGTCCCTTCCCTTCCCTTCCCTCCCCGTCCCTTCCCTTCCCTTCCCTCCCCGTCCCTTCCCTTCCCTTCCCTCCCCGTCCCTTCCCTTCCCTTCCCTTCTTTTTTTTTTTCTTTGTTTTGTTTTGTTTTGTTTCTTGTTTAATTTCCTTTTTTATTTTATTTCTTTTCTTTTTTTCTTTCAGAAAGTCTCTGAAGGGGAGGTGGGGGTGTGTGAGGAGTCTGGAGAGCTGCTGTGATGCTGACCCCCATGCACGATGGTGCACGCGCGCCCTGCAACGCTGCAAGCGCAGAGAGGCGATCCCCCGGGAGCGCGGGCCGAGGGGTCTCCCTGGAGCTGTCAGAGCCATCAGGGCTCTGTGAGGGCACGGCCACCCCGGGCCAGGCCTGGGCACATCGCCGAGGGGTGATGGGGAAAACCAGCGAAGGTGGGGTTACAGCATTGGGCCAGATGACCGGATGGGACCCAGGATGGGGCAGTCCCCTCTTTGGGGGAGCAGGACCGGCCAGACGTGACCAGCAGAGTGCGGCGGGTTGGGATGCTCGAGTAGCTTTCAGCCCCTCACAAGCCCTGATGTTTTCCCCGTGAAATTCCTGAAAAGTGGCAAAAAAGCTGCTGTCTCTCCCCCCTGCACCCCACAAAGCCCCTTGCCCACGATGGGAGGCAGGGGACCGCAGGGGCAGGCGGCACCTGTTCCCTGGGATATTTTTAGGGGAAGTTTAGGAGCAAACAATTCCCAGCCTGCAGCCCGGCAGGGACAATGCCCGGT